CCAAGCTACTTAATATAAATAAACTAATAATAAACTTAATACTTCAATATATTGTACAAAAAGTTATTTTTAAAATATTATATTTTACTTGAATACTATGTGTAGAATTTTAGCTATAAAAAGGTTTATACTAAATTAAATGATCAACCAAAATTAAATAGTACTTCGATAAAGACAATAAGGCATTATAAAACTATGTTGAGTTTAAATCTATTAGTAACTTACCAAGTACAAGGGTAATTTACAGCTATAATAAATATGCACTAATCCGTTATCTAGTTTAAATTCTGAAATTAGTATATTTTAGTAAATAGACTTACAAAAGCTGCATTTCTTCCCGAAATAATACAAAATTTTAATTTATCAAAATTGGAATACTAATAGAATGATTTATCTTTATATCTGAGGTTGTTATCAATATGAAGCTAGAAATGATAGCCCTAGATTGACTATTTTAGATAGACCCGGGTTTACATATTTATAATAGACCTAATTGTAACTTTAAAAAAATTATTTGTATATGGTATTCATGCTAAATTTGTAAATCTTTAGGTCTATTGCAAGATGATCATATAGAACTCATTGTTGTTGATCAAACAATCAAAAATGATCTACATTATCAGAAACATATTCAAATTTCTTAATTTATTTTATTATTGATTTGTTAGACCGGTGTTAGAGCGGTGTGACTGATAATGTTCAAAAAAAAAAGATCTATTGATGGCCTAGCCTAGTACAATTTTTACGTAAACACGACTACACCAAAATTACATCAACAGATTTTAATGTAAACATTGTGATTTTAGTGTTACATATCAGTGGATTTGTGGAATCACCCCAAAATTTTTATTATTTGATCTAGGGTAGGTCATGTCATTTGATATTAATCATACTATAATCAGTTAAACGTCATCAATGCAGATAAAAAAAATGCTTAGCGATTAAAATATATGTATATACATATATACGTATAACATATTACAGATAAGAATAAAAAAAAAATTTGTGATCATTAATTTTTTTAAAAAATTATTCTTTTAATAAAGTATAGTAAATAATATGTCTAAAACAAATGACTACCCAAAAAGTTCTACAATTACAGTAAAAACATCAAGTAATACATTTACTTATAAAATTATTCAAGAAGGAATATATCCTAGTAAAGAGATTCTTGTCTATACATCAAAACCAAATCAGTATAGAATTCTTCATAATTATATAGTTGAAACAACTTATGGAAGAGGCAAATTACAACGAACTATAACATGCTCAATTCAATATGAGGACAATATGCCAGTATTTAAAATTGAATTTTTATTTGGCAATAGTACTGAAATTGTTATA